ATGTGCAAAATAGATTTCTTTTTGTGGCAGTCAAATAAGAAGTATTCAGTTAGGGGACAGTCCTCTTTTCCCCCATGTAATGAATTTTTCTAATAGCACTCCTATAATAATAGGTTTTTTTGAAATAAAATAAAATAAAAATAGCCCCCCTTTATGCCGTTTTTTCTCTTTAAAGGAAAAGAAGAACAAGCTTGCAGAGTTTCTGTCCAATAAATCCTACAGGAAGAACATCAATTCTGTTTAAGCAGAAGGTCTGTTTGTTCCTGTTTGTTTGTTTTTTCCCCCATGTGGGCCTTTACTCGTTAAATTGTATAAGAAAGGCAAGATTGTTAGATACAGTGTACAATATTCTATTTCTTATTGCCTGAAAGATGGGACAAGGAAACATACTAATGCAACTGGACCAGACATAGCAGTGTACATTTTCAATATATGATAAACACCAATCAAGAATAGTCATTTTTTTCTCCATTGTTAACAGCCTTAAATCGCATTAAAAGCAAGTGTTTTTATATATATATAAATATTTGAGAACTGGAATTCAGTGTATATTGTACCGATGGAGGTTCCCTTTAAAATATTAACTTCACCCTAAGTAATTAACATCACATGACGGGTGGATATCCTGCACCCCGCTTTGTATGCACAAATCTCTAGTCTGTACTATCACGTTCCTCCCATATCTGTTCTTTTCTCTGCTTGTAGAAGGAAGAGAATCAATTTTCTCCAAAAAACAGAAGGAATTTGGTAGTACCTTCACACAATGAGAACAGCCGCTCACAAAAGCTTACTTATTATTTATTACATTGATTTCTACACCTGCTGATCTTGTGAATGCAACTCGAAGGGGCTAACGACACATTAAAACTTTAAAAAAAAATTAGCAATTTTTTTTTTAAAGTTGAGGATAAACCCAGACAAAATCAACAGGCCAGTTAACTTCCTGACTCCTTCCCCTCCTCACATCAAGATCTCCAATGTTTTATGAAAGATCAGAAGCATCAGGACCAATAGGGTCTCCAGAGGTATGCCTTATTTATAAACCTATTAAAAGGTGCTACCAGACTCTTCCTGATTGAGGATGGGCGACATTGTAAATTTCTCTTCTTAAAAGTTTAGCTTGCGTTAACTTTTAAGAAACGTCTAACTGGAAACTGTCTTTTCCCCTCTCATTCAATATAGTCAAAATGGGTGAGCAAGTAGCTTCTCATCCCGCTAAGAAGATCACCAATATTGAAATGAACTAAGTTTGCAAATCAAAGCAAAAAAACCCAACTCAAGCACCCCGGATTTGGCTACTCTGATAGTAGTGACCATGTCTTCCTACAAAATACTCCAAAAATAAATAACATTTCCCCCCCCACACTGTGAAGCACACAAAGCTTTTGTCGAGAAATGCAGGGAGTATAAAGAATTTGACCACTGTCTGTTTCAAGTGTATATGCATAACTGTTATTGCTCTTTTTTTTTTCAATATGAATAAAGACTGGGAAGAACGGACCACAGGTATTGTGAAGATAAATAAATTAAGGGAATGAATCAATTAAAAACAATGCAGCTAGAAGCAACAGAAAAGAATGAAAGGTGTATCTCACAGTTCACCACCATTCACATAGAGTAGTGGTTGATATCAGTTCCCCCCTCCTTTTCTTTCATCATAAAAACAACATTATAGAACAGCTAAAGCACAATGTTCTAAAGTCTCTTGGTCTTTTTTTTTTTTTGTCCTTTCCTTTCCTTTGCATTCCTTCCAATTGTTAGGTATCCTGGCCCTGAATACCTTTGAGTAGGGCAGCTTGAACAGTTCAACGCCACTTCGAAAACCCTCTGGAGATCAGACGATAAAATTCTTCAGCAATCAGGGAGGGAAGACAAAGGGCTTTCTCGTGCTATGCCCATATTTCCATGTTTGCTGGCTTAACATCATTGTGTACGACTTCGGTACTTAACAGTTGATGCGAAGACGTTCAGAGCTGGCAAACAGAGAAACAGCATGAGAATAGCCCTGGCCTTCACCAACCCATCTCCCTCTCATTATTTTAAATATTGACTTATGGAATATCAGCTGCCAGGAAACCTGGTCCTACAATTAGGTAGCGTGAGCTATCTGGCAATTATCAAGCAACAAGAACAAATCAATCATTTCTGATTGTTGATTGTCAGGGATTGGCTTACAATCTCAAATTCTGCCTTATACGCTCAGTTAATTTAGCTGAATTAGTGCATTGTGCCTTCTCGTATTTCCTCATCTGCAAATTTTGGGGGTGGGGGGCTCCTTCCATATCTAAATATTGGCCAGAATCAATTAGAGCTTGGCAAATAGTTTGGTATCTATCAATGCTTTCCAAAAACCCACCAAGTTCCCCAAAGTTTTAGTTCTATGCAGGAGTATGTTTTGCTCTTCTCATTCTCGAAATATTAAAATATTTGGAACAATTTTGGGATGTTGTACCTGGTGGGATGATGGTAATATCCTTTCCTCACTAATTTGGGACATAAAACTCTTCCCTGAGAATCTACTAGGGTATCAGAAGACCAGAGGACTGCCCACTGATTAAATCCCCATAATACACCCCTTAGTAACCCCACAAATGAGATCTGTTGAAGAACCTTACAACCTATCCATTAAAATATAACTGTTGTTGTGTGCTTAAAATCAAAACAATTGAAACTGATGGGAAAATGCAGCAATAATCTTTAACACTGTTACTACTTGTTATAAAATAAGTAGCAAATCAATTGACCAAGCATAGAGGAAAGCAACTGGGCTCCTATAGCATTGAGGATTCACAGGGGATTCAGAATGTTCCACTGAACAGAACAATTATCCATGGAAACTGCCCTAGCTGGATATTAGGTACACCACAAACTTCAACATCCATTATTTCTCCTCCTACTGTAGTTGTTGCATCTTCTACTGAACAGTTCACATTCCCAGAATTCATAGGGAAAAGCAATGACCAGTGAAATAAATTACTTTTCCAAACTAACAACAACTCCAATATGGGTTCATTCTACATATATGTCCCTGGTGATCTACATTACTTATCGTTAAGTCAGCCTATTGCTATACGAAGTACAGTAGGTTCAAAGTTTGTTAAATACAATTTTCACATCATTATAAGATATCACACCCCCAAGGGATCCCTCCTCTGCTTCAGAACCCCTTCTGATCCTTTGGTTTTACTCAACTTCTCTAAAGCCAAGGAATCTAGAAAGAATTTGTTTGTTTTATAAGTGAAGTTACTACCACCGTCATGACAGTGCTTCAAATCTTTTTGAGATTTTTTTTTTAGGTTGCTTCTTTTAAGACATAACCTGTGGATACAGCTTGGGGAAAGAAAAGATCATGCACAGAGAAAAGGTAGAGACAAATAATGGAATGCACATAAAGGTTCTTGGTTCAATTGCTCTAGCTTACTGGAAAATGCAATAGTCAAGAGTGGTGAAAAATATGTCTAAAAAAAGCAAGATTTTTTTTTAAAAATGGGAGTTTATACTTTATAGGATAGATTTTAGCTACCAAAGACCAAAATGGACAGCACAACTATATAAAATAAATAGGACTAGGTTGCCAAATTATAGGAGACATGTTAAACATTGATGCCCATATCTTAAGGCAAATTTGAGCCATAGAGTTAGAATGCTGATTTGGGGCCATTTGCATTACAAATACAATTTGACCAATCTAATAATATTATTTGGTCCTGAAATTATATGTTTAGTTGTGTGAAAGTACAGTTATCGTACCCTAAAGGTTCAGAAGACCATCACTGTAACTTCCTTCAACATTTCATACCTTGCCAATTGGATAGATGCATCCGAAAAGGTAAGCAAAATTTCAAAAACTTAATTCCTAGCTGGAACAATTTTAGGTAACGAATAGGTCCACCCTCACATGAATGATCAAATCTGGTTTCACCTTGCAATCTCCAGCGACAAATTTATACCCCTATAAAAATAGGTTTCTGGCTCCTTTCAGTGTCTGTGTTCATATCTGAATGCTTCTAACCCAACATTGCTTTTTTGGGCAATGATGTTTTAGAACTGTGCTTCTATTGCATTATCTTTACCAATTGAAAAGCAAAGTATTAACACAAGTGGTCTGTCTCTCTTCCTTATCCTAACCTGCAAATTAGAGCTGCAATTTAACCCATTTGTAGACAAGAGATGGAATGGACAGCCGTGTTTGTTTCTAAAAGCTGGATTTGTGATTACCCTACTCATACCCCACTCAATGTTAATTTTAGGGTTGTTTTCTTCTGTTGATTGTGTCAGGCACCTAGTGTTTAGGGATCTCTACAGCAGTGTAAATGCCTATTCTTGCAAATGACACTCAATTCCTTAAGAGTTCTAATACTGGCGTGGGGGATGATGTTGGGTTTGCTTCTGAGAAACCTCGAGGAACGAATCCAAGTAAATGAAATTAGTTGGCAATTCCAGACTCCATTAGCATTAAGAACAATTTATGAGAACCTGCAATACTTTACTGATTCCCACCTGATCCAGATTCCTTAGATTCTCAAGCATATCATGCTAGCAGCAAGCTGGACCAGACTGCAGCCTCTCTTTTCTTCTGTAGATCTGCTCTCTATGCATGCAAAGGGAAAAGTACCACACTGCCATCTGCAGACAAGAATTACCCCCTGACAAGCTCATTCAGCAATCAAATTTTCCTTGTAGTCAAAAGTAGTCATTTCTTCCTATTACTACTGATGAATCACAAACTGCTTACTTTTCAATGATTCTGTCTGTCTGTCTGTGTCTGTCTGTCTGTCTGTCTGTCTGTCTATCTATCTATCTATCTATCTATCTATCTATCTATCTATCTATCTATCTATCTATCTATCTATCTATCTATCTATCTATCTATCTATCTATCTATCATCTGTCTATCTATCTATCCACATTCTAAGGGCAGAGTGTAATACAAGGAAGAAAGTAAAGCAGAAAGAAGGGAGGATGTCAAAGCAGAAAGAAAGATGTAAAACTGTCCTTACCTGTCTGGTGTGAACAGAGCCAGGGGCCTTGAATCCTCCTTGACAGCTGCATTCAGAGACACTGTAGGGGTCTGAGCTACTGGAAGAACACTTGGAGAGGGTGTCACAGCCCACCACAAATGTGTTGTCTAGAGGCAGCTCCTGTATGACATGGTGTTTCTTCGGTGGCACTGGAGTCTCAGGTTTAATTTGAAATGTGGGCTGCGGAGTGGCAGACTTGTAGTGTTTTGCTAAATCTGGACTGTCAGGTTTAAAGGTGGTGGGTGTGGTGGCCCAGTTATATTTTCCCATAGTCTGTTCTTCTAGCTCTACAGGAATGTCCAAGGTGCCATTAATGTGTTCGTGGCCAGGATCATCAGGCTTGGATTCTTCAATGGTCACAAAGTTCAGAAGAAGACTTTTGGGAGACCGCTTCTTCTTTTTCTTCTTCTTCTTGATCTGACGGTTTTCTTGATTCGGGGAAACCCACTCGCCACTCTGCTTGCTTTTCTGCACCACTTTGTGCCTGGGGGTTTGGCGGCAACGTACCAGAGCTGTCACAAAAATGACCAGTATCACCGTCATGGTGCCTGCAATAATGGCAATGATGATTTTGACGTAGTCATTGGTTTGTGGGGTAATGTCTCCATCCCCAACGTTTTGGCCAACCGGAGTTTCCATGTTTCGGCGCACCAACTCTTGGACGTAGGATCCGTTGGTGACTGTTTCGTTCACAAACAAATGCACTAATGCAATGGTATATAGAGATTCAGGCTGCCCTAAATCATTGACTTTGATCACCAGTCTGTGCAAACCATGATCTGCTGAGATGACTTTCTCCTTCAAAGTGACGTTGCCCGTTAACTGATCAATCATAAACAACCCTCGCGAATTCCCGCCAATAATGCTGTAACGCAGCTCAGCATTCATTCCAGTATCATTGTCCACAGCAAACACTTTTGTCACTACTGAGCCAGGACTGGCAGACATTGGAACCAAGTCATAGGAGTAGTTGGTGGAAGGAATGACAAAAACAGGCCTGTTGTCGTTCACATCCACAACATTGATAGTCACTTTAGCCGTGGAGGTGCGTGGTAGCCTGCCCCCGTCCACTGCTTTCACCTGAAACGTATAAGATCCTTGCTGCTCCCTGTCAAATGTAATATTAGGCCTTATGACTCCAGTGAGAGGATCGATAATGAAATTATCTTTGCCATTTAATATAGACAAGGTCACGATTGCATTTTCTCCAGAGTCTGCATCCGTCACAGTGATCAGTCCAACAGTGCCATACATGGGTAGATTTTCTGGCACATAGAAGTTGTATTCATTGTGTGTGAAAGCAGGGCTGTTGTCATTTTGGTCCAAAACAGAAACAGTCACGGTAGCATTGGTTTGCAAAGGTGGCATGCCGTTGTCTTTAGCCAGCACGGTGAATGAATAGCGATCCTGTTTTTCTCTATCCAGCTTTCTCACGGCTGTCAGAATGCCTGTACGGCGATCCAGGTTGAAAATAGGGGGAGCATCCAATCCCAGCATGTAGCTGATTTCAGCATTGCGGCCACTGTCAGCATCGGTAGCACTTATCTTGGTCAGCTGGGTTCCAGGAGCATTGTTCTCGGGAATGGAGAGCCCGATCACAGGCTGCGTGAACACCGGGGCGTTGTCGTTTTCATCTTTGATTTTGATCAGCAGCATCGCAGATTGGTTCAAGGGTGGCTTTCCTGAGTCAGAAGCCACTATTTTTATGGCATATTCTCTGGTGGCCTCGTAGTCTAGAAAGGTGGCTGTTTCCAGGAGAAACTGGTTATCAAACACCGGCTTTAACCTGAAGGGGACATCGTGGTCTGTGAAGCAAGTAACCTTCCCATTAAGATCGGCATCCTTATCCATTACAGTAATCAGGGCAATCTTAGTATTGAGTGGTGCTTTCTCAGACAGTAACACAGTCCCGTTCACTGGGTTGATAATGTATCTTGTGTCTATTGAGGGAATGTTATCGTTAATGTCTGTGACGTTCACTGTTACGGTAGCTCTGGAGGGTGTGGAACTGCCATCGCTTGCCAAAACGGTTAATTTGTGGACTGGGGATTCCTCCCGATCCAAGGGCTCCTTGACAGTGATAAGACCAGTCGTGTTATCTATGGCAAACAGCCTTTTGGCCAAACTGGAGATCTGGCTGCTAAAATAGAAGTGAATCTGGGCGTTGGACCCTAAGTCGGCATCGGTGGCATGGAGTTGAGAAACAGAGGTGCCCACAGGTGCATTTTCAGGTACGCTGACTTCAATATCATTCTCCTTGAAGACCGGACGGTTGTCATTCACATCAATGACGGTGACTTGCAGAATGGCCGTGCTGGATCTCGGAGGGTTTCCACCATCTTCCACTTTAATCTTCATCACATAGGTGTCCTTCTGCTCCCTGTCAAGAATTTGTTGCACTATCAACTGGGGCCACTTGTCTCCTTCAGGTGTTTCAATTATATCAAGTCCAAATACATTTTGACCCTAGAAGCCATAGAAAGAGAGAAGAGAATAGATTACTGCATAGATCTGTTATATATACAATGTGCTTTTTTTCTGAAAGATATCGATCTGAATTTTCCCACATATGTTTATGCTTTGGGGTAATGCCAAAGAAGACTTGTGACCTTGGAAATAAATCCATCTTAATTCCACGGGTCATCTTCTTTAGTAAACCTTACTATGAATTGATCCTACAGGCTATTGTGCTTTGAATTAAATATATTCTTAGCTTTCAATATATTCAAAGATAATTTGATGACAGTTATTTAACCAGTGACCTGTTCATTCATGAGTCATATATGGGCTTGACGTTCTGTGATTATCCCTGTTAGGAATGTCAGAGGAAACAGGAAGCTCATACATACCCCTTCCATCATCTCTACCACCTAACAGACTGACATTCATCAATATCTTTTCCAAAGGATCATCTAGACTTTTCAAAAGCTTAGGAAGTGGTGCTAACTGAGAACCAACATGCTTACAAAAATGGCAGTAATAAATAACTAATAGAATGCTTCTGATTAAAAAAATATCCATGAGATAAGAAGGAGATAAGAATTGTCTATTGGATATAGACCATTCTGAAAATAAGGTCCAGAAATACTTTAAACCAGTGGTTTTCAATCTGTGGTCCACAGACTCCTGGGGAGGAGGGGAAACATAATGTCATCACAGGGGGTCCGAGAAGGCTAGAAGAATTGCTATGATTTACATCTTGAGTTAAGTTTTGGTGGTCCATGGCCATGTCCACAAAAGGTATGTAAAGGAGGTCTGTGGTGAAGAAAAGGTTGAGAACCACTGCTTTAAACTATATTCATCAAGATGGAGTAGGGAGGAGAAAGCAACTCAGAAAGACTTCTTTTTATGACAGCATTTGGTGGAAATGCAAAAACCGCACAAATCTGCATTCATTGATGCACATATGTTGATAACAGGACAAGGATAACTTGTGGTTTTCCATATGCCAACTAGTTCTTTCCCATTATCTCATGGGCTTATCAACATTTTTTTTAATTTATGGAAATTTATGGAGTTACCCATCTCCTTATAGGAACTTCGGATGGTTAATTATAGATTAAAAACATGATACATCAAACATCTGTTGTAGACTTTTTAAAGACTTACTGCATCAACAAGCCCGGATTACTACCTTCACTAACCAAGGGCTGAAATTAAAATAATCAGCTGTTTCCTTGGTTTTGTGTCTTTGATTGGTGGTAGCTGGAAGTTGAAAAGCATTAAACAAGGCAGCTGTTTGCCATCAATCATGTTCACAACTAACCATAAGCTATGTCTATCATGTCATCCAAGCATGAACTACATGTCTTTTGAATGATGGGTCCTTCCCTGTTTACACCTTGGACATTTAACATCTTTACCATCTTTGTTAGCGAAGAAAGAGTGGTGTTTAACAAGAGTCATGGAAACATTATACAATAACAGAGAACAATATATTAATGGGGTGTTCTGGGAAGGGTGTCCCCTTTTATCTGAAAGCTTTAACTTAGCCCATGTAGAACAATAAGCTTCAAAATGTCAGCCCAGGATTCAATAAACCAAAACGGGCCTCCTAGCAACCCAGCTAGTTGTAGCAAGTGGCAGAACCGAACTAAACTTGGCTGATGTTAAAAAAAGCTAAGCAGAATCAGACACAAGCTCTTTTTGGATGAGTGCCTGCCAGAAGATACCAAGGCTGTAGGCTAGACAAGCAAGTTGAAAAGAACAAAAGCAATAATTTTGTAGTGTTGCCAAGGAAAAAAGAAAAAAATAAACCCCAACAACAACTAGTCAGGTCCATAAGGTCACCAGGAGTCAAGCTTGACTTGAGGGAGACTTCATCCTTTTAACCTTTTTAATCGTGTCCTTAAGCTTAGTGTCGAGAGTTTGAAACACTCTCACCCCCAAAGCAGCTTCGGCAGCACTTTTCAACTTTTTAAATGTTCCCTAACTCTTATCCAGCTCCAAAAGCCTAATGACGTGACACGTCTTTAAGTTGGAAGAACTTGTGGATGGATGAATATGAGACTCCAGGCAACACAGCTGTCCTCAGTCACACAGTACAGCTGCTTTGCATATCTAACATCTGACTGCCAGCTATTTTCTGAACATGATTCCCCCAGCCATTGAATATTCTTTGTCATTAAATATTTGCCATATTCATGGGTTGCCCTATTTTAAAAAAGTACAAATTGCCAGCAACTTTTGGTGCGAAGCAGAAATTGGCCAAAATTGCAACTGAATTGCCTCGGAATGTTGCGAGCAAATCAAGATAAAGACGGCTAAACATCTCTGGTTTTGTTTTTGTTCTTGTTTTTTAAATCAGCATGCCTTTCATGGCTGCAGTAAAAAATCTGCATTCCAGATATTACAAATAATGCAATCATTAATAAATGTGCAATGTACGATGAGTGATAAGGAACCAGCCATAGGTCTTGTGGGTCATGTCGTGTTCCCTCATCATCATATTAAAACCAATACGTAGGAATAGAAATGAATTCTGCACATAGTATAGAAGAATAATGCTCGGGTAGAATTAATCGGGAATAAAGATTTTCGCTTCCAGAGGGACATATCAACCTGGGAATGTTGAATCTCTCTCCCCATTTTTTTTTCTTTTAAAGGAAAAGAGAGAGGGAAAAATAAGCCTTTTTCCCCAAAGGAGAAAGAAGTGATTAGTATTCATCAATAGCATCTCTGTGAATGATGGAAAATGGAGCTGACAGGAACCAAAAGAACACTGCCATCACAAACAAAGGAGAGAGTGATAATGGAGAAACACCAAAGACAGAGGTGAAAACACGAAAGAAGGAACAAAGGGCATCTCTCATTCCCTCTTTGCTGTTCATGGCTGTCATTTCCTGGTGCAATGCAACCCTCAGAATCCAGAGCTTTGTAGTCTGAAGTGTAACAAACTCATTGGGCGTTTTCACCTGCTGAGAGTCCTGAGGCAAATAAGAGCCCTTTCACAAAACCACCATTCCCCCCTGTCCTAAACAAATAGGAATGGTTTCCAACTGCTTCACAACTGTCCTCACAGCTGCCAACATTAACAGGCAGAAAATGCACCTGAAGCAGTTAACGCAGGAGTCTTCAAACTTGGCCCTTTTATGACTTGTGGACTTCAACTCCCAGAATTCCTCAGCCAGGCACGCTGGCTGAGGAATTCTGGGAGTTGAAGTCCACAAGTCATAAAAGGGCCAAGTCTGAAGACCCCTGAGTTAATGAGACCCAAAGGAAGGTGCCCCCAGCCCAGATCTATAATAATAATGATAATGATGATGATGATGATGATGATGATGATGATGATGATGATGATGATGATGATGATGATGATGATGTTGGAAGGGACCTTGGAGGTCATCAAGTCCAACCCCCTGCTCGGCAGGTAACCCTATACCATTTCAGACAAATGGCTGTCCAGTCTCTTCTTAAAAACTTCCAGTGTTGGAGCATTCACCGCTTCTGGAGGCAGGTTGTTCCACTGGTTAATTGTTCTAACTGTCAGGAAGTTTCTCCTTAGTTCTAGGTTGCTTCTCTCTTTGGTTAGTTTCCATCTGTTGCTTCTTGTCCTGCCTTCAGGTGCTTTGGAGAATAGCTTGACTCCCTCTTCTTTGTGGCAGCCCCTGAGATATTGGAAGACTGCTATCATGTCCCCCCTCATCCTTCTCTTCGTTAAACTAGACATGTCAGCCTCTTTGCTTCAAAGTAATCTTTGTTACTTCAGAAGGACTTTTGCTACACCAAATAGTTTGAGAATTGTAGGCACATTTTTTTCTTGGTGTGTGTGGTTTTTTTTGTTTTTGTTTTTTGTTTTGCTTGCAAAGCTCCTGAATTATGACTGGCTGTGTTCTGTTTTCTTTTGCTTGCAAAATTGAGAAGAAAAGAAAAGAAAGAAACATCATAGAAGTGGGAGAGATAGCTCCCATGCACTTCTTTATTTGTATGCAATCTGACAATCACGCATTGATTATTCTGTCTTTAGCTCTGCAACTACAACACAGAGAATTTAATTCAGGCAGAGGCTCTCCATTTTGTTTTTCAACAAACACAGATGATGAGAGCTATCGTTTTTTTTTTCCTTTTTAAAAAAAGTATCAGAAAAAAGAAAAAAATTGCCCAGTATCTATTCTAGCAGTGAAATACTCAAGTAGGGCAGAAAACCTACGATGCAATTCCCCCCCCACCTCTTTTTGAGATTTCAAAACACTTGTAGAAGAAGCAGGAGAAAAAAAAATGTTTTAAATAGGGGGAAATTATTTAAGTTCCTATATTAGTGCACAGCAATACATATAGATGTACATATACATATACATATACATATACATATATATATACATATACATATACATATACATATACATATACATATACATATACATATACATATACATATACATATAAACAATGATGGGATTCAAATACCTGAACAATCGGTTCTCTATGTGGATGCAGGCCTGGGCCTCCGAGGCCTAGAATAGAGTTCCGGAAGTGACATTCACACACTTTCTCTAGGCTGTTCTAGGCCTGAGAGGCCGCCTCCAGGCCTCCGAGGCCTAGAATGGACTTCCGGAAGTGACATCCATGCACTTCCTGTGGGCCGTTCTAGGCCTGGGAGGCATCCTCCGGGCCTCTGAGGCCTAGAATAGAGTTCCGGAAGTGACATTCACACACTTCCTCTAGGCTGTTCTAGGCCTGAGAGGCCGCTTCCAGGCCTCCGAGGCCTAGAATGGACTTCCGGAAGTGACATCCATGCACTTCTTGTGAGCTGTTCTAGGCCTGGGAGGCTTCCTCCAGGCCTCTGAGGCCTAGAACAAACTTCCAGAAGCAACGTGGGTTCAGCCGGTTCTCCGAACTCAACAAAATTTAGGTACCGGTTCTCCTGAACCAATGAGAACCGGCTGAATCCCACCACTGCATATACATATACATATACATATACATATACATATACATATACATATACATATACATATACATATACATATATATGCAGGTCTTGGCGTATTTGGGTCTTTTCCCGTATAAGATTAAGAATATCTTGGCGACGTTTCGACGAGGTCCCACTCGTCATCTTCAGGCTGGGGTCTTTGGCTTCGTGCTTGTGCGAGCAAAGTGTGATCGCACAAGCATGAAGCCAAAGACCACAGCCTGAAGATGACGAGTGGGACCTCGTCGAAACGTCGCCAAGATATTCTTAATCTTATACGGGAAAAGATCCGAATATGCCAAGACCTGCATACCTGTACCCGTGAAAATCTACGAAAACATACATGTATATATATATATATATATATATATATATATACATATACATATACACATACATATATGCAGGCACTTGACAGCAAGTGTGTGTTAATGTGTAATGGCAAACAAGCACAACAGCAGGCAAATAGGGAAAAATATATTTTTTAAAAAAAATAAATTGGGATTCGTCATGCTTTCCCCCCCTTTTATATGCAGGATGACTTTTCATCATCAGAGTCAAGATTGCTCCAATATTCCATTTAGATTTCATGTAAGAAGAAAAAAATCACTGCCTGAATAACCAAAAACGTGAAAAGACATCAATGGATGTTGAGTTCTACAATCTCAATACGGCAACGGCCAACTAATGAATGGCAATCTGCGTGATCAGAATATATATTGATAATTTGATGACTGGAGCAGGAAGCAACAACCAGGCAAAGATGAAGGAGACATCATATCACAGATGTTTCACGTCACCTGAAATATAATTATTTTCAGTGAAGACCTACCTACTCAAGTCATCAAATGATGGGTTTTCAGGTAACATTTAGTGATGTACATGCAGGTATCATAAAGCTCTAATTTTAGATGTCATGCAGAACCCAAAAGTTAGTTTACTGCGAAGATTCTTTCAAGATATTATAATATACATTGATTTATTGAAATATGCACTTACCTTCACAATTTCCAATTTATAGAAACATTTCAATCATGTTTTCCAACACCCACTATTCCAGTTTCAGCATTTTGAAAAATGACCGGGCCCTTTCAAAGCACAATTATTTGATCATATTTTAAAGAATAAAAAAGAGGAGAGGGAGGATGAATATCTGAGTGTGCGTATGTAATTACCTGTTCATTTGTAATGGATCCAAAAGTCCTTTTCGGAGCTGTTTTGGGCTGCCATGTAAATACAAAAAAATGAGAAAATATCTCTTTTAAATGTTTCAAAAGCAATCAGTTTTTTTTAAAGGATAAAGGACAGTGTCAATCCAAACAAAACTTTTAAAATTACTCTTCCATTCCTATGCAACTAGGCTACTGAAATGCAAAAAGAATATATTCTATATTCAGCATCTCCCAGCTAGAGAGAGTAGTGGCAGAAATACACTCCCATACAAGATCCTGAAATACAGAATAAAGTTGAAAGCACAGGCTTCCAACAAGAAAGCCAATTTTGAAGATGCAAGATAGACATATTCCAATTCTCATTTTCTTTGCACCGGCATCTGTGAGTGAGGCGGGCATTACCTAAATTTGAGAAATAAATACAGGAAGTCCTTGGCTTACAACAGTTCACTTAGGGATCATTCAAAGTTACAATGGCACTGAAGAAAGCGGCTTGGGACTGCTTCTCACACTTATGACTATTGCAGTATTCCCACGTCACGTGATCAAAATTCAGAACACTTGGCAACTGACTCACATTTATGACGGTTACGGCGATCCCCCTTTTTGCAGCCTTTTGACAAGCAAAGTCAATGGGGAAACCACTTCACAACCGTGTTATTAACTTAACAACAGTAGTGATTCATTTAAGAACTGTGGCGAGTAAGGTCGTAAAATGGAGCAAAATTCACTTAACAAATGTTTCGCTTAGCAATAGAAATTTTGGGACCAGTCGTGATTGTAAATCAAGGACGAGATGCAAATAAAATAAATTCCCATCTCTTAGAATCTCAAAGAACTCTTCCTCACGGAACACAAATAAGGATTTTTTACTTGGATATTAGCCAATTACCTTGCATTCACTTGTTTGCAACTGAGCAAACTGCAAATCCGCAAGCTCCTACAACTTTCCTATTTTTGTAAGCAATACAAAATGTTTGTTGGGCTGCCAAAACAGAAAATAATATCAGTGTTTGAATGGAATAGGGAACGAGGGAGAGTTCCCATGTCTCTAACTTACTTCTAACATAATTTATTTTTTCCTGATGCAAAACTGGGCAGAATTCTCTAACATATCGGCTATTCATTCTGTGGCAGGATCATAACAGCAAAGTGTAGACATAAAACAATGGCTGAAAGGAGAAGCTCAGTTTTAATTCAAAGGAAGAACAATTCAAAATGGCTGGCTATATCAAGATCGTTTGAGAACATAAGTGGCTTAATATTGTCAAGTCCTGCATCAAAAATATTATAGTATTTCTACTAGATTCAATGGGCCATTAGAGTTATTGAAGCAAACCTCGCTCTTATGCATGCAATTATTCAGCAGGAAAAAAGAATGAAAACAATGGGATATGGTGTAAAATATTTCCTGAGCTATGAATCTAAGCTTTACACACTTCAGTTTCTGTTTCAAAGCACTATCAAAAGTCACATTATCCTGCAGTGAGCTACAGAGGTGTAGAACCTGCAGAGATCACAGAACGGAGCTGTAATATTTGGAGATCACATATTTAGAATTTTAGAGACTTTTTTCTCTAAGTGGACAACATCAGCTCTCAAACTGTCCGGCATCGTGCCAAGTTTGGACTAGCTGGTAGACTGCACCAAAGTCTCATGCAAACGTTAACACTCGGTAGTCGAAATCCAGTTAAGTGGCCTTCAGACATTGATTTTAATCAGCTTAAGCACTTTATGCACTGTGTTAGATGGAGAACAAGATCTTTCTTTAATAATGTCATTAAGTCTGCAAGCCAATGAGTTTGAGTAAGGCCCATCAATCTTTCCAACGTTATACCTGAGGCAAAGGTGACTTTGCATTCATAGACTGGTTTTGCACACCGCCGTAAATCATGCTTTGCCCATCATAGCTGCATTTATGTAACATGCTAAGTCCAAACGATCACAAAATGACTTTTGTATGCTATGATAGTTATAGTGATCTGTGACAACACTGTATTTGTCAGAAAACAGCCCAGAGGACAATTATTAGAAACTGATCCTACCAGAGTCTCATTCAGACAATTTATATTTTATTCTCTGCCGTAGTGTTTCACATTAAACTTTCCATTGTCTTTTATTCTCTCTTTATTTAAAAAAAAAATAAGAGACTCAAAATAGTATTAAAATCATTTGAAACTGAAGTTTCAGCTTACGCCTTCTTCATTAAAAATCACACCACTAAACTCAATTCTATCTCCATTCTAAACATTTAGAATGCAGGGCCCAGATCTACCATCTTCTGTGATTTACCCAATAAATAGCCAGATATCCATAAATTCTGGAATATAAGGTAATACAATAACCTACCACATCAGAAACACAGGTAACGGTGTATCTAAAGAAATGGATCTATAATACTAAATGAAATTGGCTTCTTCTTAACAAGAGACTAATATCTATTAACTATTTCTTCTGTTATTAAGTAATTATCAAGGAGAACAATGAAAATCTGTAGAGGTCCTTCCTTGGTCTCTGTGTGATACACTTCACACAAATTCAGAGGACCTAAAAAATTGAAAAGGGATGAAGAATGGAAGAAGCTAATTCTTCTTTCCCATCAAAGACCATTAGCTCCCTGGAGACACATTTCTATAAACCATGGCAAGCAGGAGACCGATTCTGTATTTGAAAGACAGATTACAATATCAGTTATGACTGTGCTTTGCTCCAAATATGACAGTTTCTCTCCAGCCTGAAGGAAGATTCCAGAAACATCAACTTTCTTGGGAGGAAGGATGTATTTTCCACTTTTCTATTGCTATTGTGATAAAAGCTAACAGGAAAGTGTTTGCTATTATATAACATACTCAGCCTACAGCCATAGCAGTGAAGTGCTATTAGCACATTAAAGTTGATCTCAAGATTGTTGATTCTGCAGCCAAAGTTCTGATTATTATTTTTCAATTAAACTATGATGGTGAGATGCCTCTGTTGATGCTTTTCATATAAAAAAAAGGCAGGATGATGGGGTGGTTTCATATTAGGGTCTAACTCCAAAACCAGTAGTATTAAATAAATGCCTGAGTATAGTCTTTGGGAATGGATCAATGGGAGAACTTTCTCCCTACATGTCAATCTTAAACCATAAATGGAGGGTCTAGACCATAGGTTTGACACTGTTATCAGGCGGTACAACAGAATATCTAACAAGGACAACAAACTTAAATGAATATTCTTACTTAGCTGCTGATTAATATTTAAATGCCATCTGTTCTTGTGTTATTTACTGTAGTTTGTTAGATTTTTATCCTAGGTTTTCCCCAAGAGCTCAAAGAAATGTGTGTGTGTTTGTGTGTTCATGTTTTTATGGTGTGTGTGTGTGTGTGTGTGTGTGTGTGTGTGTGTGTGTGTGTGTGTGAAAGAGAGAGAGAGAAAAACTATATCTCTATGGTATTTCTGCTTCATTTTATATTCATAACTTCTGACAGTGATTGGCCTAAATTTGAACATAACCTTTTTCACTCAATGGAAGCAATACCACACATGAACGCAAATGAACATATTTGGACTCAAAATGTCAATGTTGCACAACTATTTTAACCATAAATAACTCCATCTCCTAATTAGTAAAGAGGAAGTCTAAGTACACTGTGTGAGGTTGAAAATGCACATAGAATTTGAGAATAGGAAGGTAATTTCTAAAAAGTCTAGATTGTTATGTGGTGGAGAATGAATCCACTTGTTTGGCTGTCCCCAAGGTTCAGTGGTAATGTGCAAAAGAGTTAATAATAATAATAATAATAATAATAATAATAATAATAATAATAATAATAATAATAATAATAATAATAATAATAAAGTTGGAAGGGACCTTGAAGGTCAGCTAGTCCAACCCCCTGCTCTCGCAATATGTCTTATAACAGGCATGCAAATGAAAGAAAAGCAAAAACAAATCCCATTTTTCAAAATTGCTCTCTCTATATGTATGTTGGGAGGAGGGGGTTAACAGAGTTTGTCTATATAAATATATATTGTTTCATCAATATTTTCTTCTAGGAACAATTTTGACAGTCTTTAGCATTTAGAAAAAGGAAAGGCCCTCACCCAATAAACAATCAAAAAGTCAAGATCTATTTTTCTCCCATTGGGGCATTATTTAATTGGGGCATTATTTAGCAGATTACTTTTTCCTATAACACTTTTTTTCTTTTCCTACCAGTTTGGGTAAGCGAAGGTTGTAAACTACAAGATTCGCAGAATATAGAAAGTGTCCAACGTGAGAATGGAAATCCATTTAAGGGTTTATATTTGTGGATGGTAATTCCCTCCCTACCCTGTCATGTTTATAATAATGGTTGTTGGGAGCTGCAGTAGACTTGAAGTCTTTGTTCCTTGCAGAAATTGAAAAACAAACACAAGAAACATGTTGAAATTCTTCATCCTCAGAGGATCACTTCCATTTTACTATTGCTTTGTTGTTGTCGTTTTCTGTTCAAAGTGATTTCAAGACAGAATTGTTAAAAGCACTGAGACAGACATACGCATATTCCATGGAAAATGCCACTGCCTGCATACTGGAACTTAGCCGTACCACATCAAAACGTAACAGATCTGACTAAATTGGTCAGACAAAGCCCAGGGCTCTGAAGAATGGATAAATAGCATCAGCAAGTCTCAGGTTTAAACTTAATAAGAGTTCTTAACTGACACAGCATAATTCCTTAAATCTCTCCAGCGTTTAATTCGTGAAACAGTAAGGTATCACCTGCCGTTCTTTAAAAGTATGATTGCTTGAAGTAGTGTGGCATTTTGCAGGTAGTCCTCAACTTACAATAGTTCATTTAGTGACCATTTGAAGTTACATGAGCATTGATAAAAGTGACTTTTTCACACTTACGGTCATTGCAGCATCGCTGTGGTCACATGGATCAAAATTCAGGTGCTTGGCAATTGACTCCTATTTATGACGGTTGCTGTGTCCCGGGGTCACGTGATCCCCTTTTGTGACCTTCGCAGAGTCAATGAGCAAAGCCAGATTCACTTAACAACCATGTTACTAACTAAACTGC